AAAAAACAATAAAAAGAAATGTTAATTCATTTTTTAAATTAAAAAAAAAAATATAAAATTAAAAAAAAATAAATTAAAAAAAAAATATGTAAGTTTCGAAACGAAACTTACATTACTTCCAAAAAAAAGAGGCAAAAGAAAAGTGTGAGAAAAGGGGGAGAGCGAAAGGAGAAGCAAGGGAAGGACAAAAGGGAAAGGAAAGGACAATAAGAGAAGGACGAAAGGACAAGAGAAAGTAAAGGAATAAGGGATGAAAGGAAGTAAAAGAAAGGGAAAAGGAAAGTTTAAATTTTAAACTTTTAATATGCGTAATGTGTGAAGCGTGACGTTTAATTAGACTATTTGACCAATGTCTAATCGTAGATCATAGTCGAATTTTTAATTGAATATAGGCCAGCCTTTTTTAATTAGTGAAATCAGCTATGCTGAATATCACCTGATATACAGACAATCATCAATTATATCTGAAATTTAGCCAAAATTTAGCCAAAATAAAGATAATTTGCCTTATTTCTGATTTGCCTTATTTCGATTAGTATTTTAGTATTAGATTAGCAAAAATTAAAAACTAAAATTCACCAATCCCATCAGTTCTTCTAAAATAACCAATTTATATAAATTTAAAAAAGTTAAGTAATACCAAATTTCTTATTCAGATGATTAACATTTCAATACCTTTAAATCCTCTAAAAGAAAGCCAAAAGTAAAAATGCTGAAATTTCAGAAAAAAAAAACCAAAAAAACAAAAAGAAAAATTATAACCTTTGAAAACCCTTAAAGAAAAAAATTAAGTATAGAAAGTAATAAATATTATGCTTTCATCTACTATTTCAACAACTTAAATGTCAATTAATAATAAAGAAAAAGCTTACTTTTCAAATGACCACCTCTACTTCAACATGTATTTCAAAAAAAAACCTTCGTAATGCTTTCAAAAATAAAAGGAAAAACTTTATACTAATGCAAAGTTTAAAGTCCAGCTGCTTAATACGTAACTGGTACAACTTTCAGAAATCTAATAAGAAAAAAAGTTTTACAAAAGTAAAATTATCTTTGGTGAGAACTATTCTAAGTTAAGTAACTCCATCAAAATAAAAAGTTAAAGGTTCGTTCAAATCTTAAACAAATTACCAAGAAGTTTATTAAAAACAATATTAAAAGTATTCTAAAACCATTTAAGTGAAAAAAACTAAAGTTTTCCTTCAATAACTTCCACTGGAAAAATGGCAAGTAATCAGTAAGTAAGAAATATAGTTGATTCTACTATGGAATTAGGTAAAATATATTATATAATATTATTAATATATAATATATATACTATTATTATATATATATATTTTTTATATAGTTTTAATTGCCAAAATATTATATTGCAAAATTAATATTAAAATTTAAAATATTTTTTTTTAAAATTCATATTCAGTAAACTTTTAATAATATTGATGGAAATAAAATTTGTGCGCACTCGCGCATGTGCGCACTTCTCCATTTTTGGTAATTTTTATATAGTAAATTTGTTGATCATTAATTATCACGTGATTTTAGTAAAATCCCAATTTTTTTAAATATTCATGCCGCAACTCTCACGTACATATTATAGAACCTTAAAATTTTATTTACTATACGTATTTTTGCCTATTTTACAACTTTACTTAATGAGCCATGAAGGGTTTAGAATGTCATTTTTGACTTTTATATATAATATATCCATGGGGATGCGCACATGCGCAGGTGCGCACAAATTTTAAACCCAATATTGATTATTTAAATTCTAATATTATTATATAAGGTACTATTCATTATAATTAAAAAGTTTTTTTTATTATATAAAAAAAATAAAAAATATTTAATTGTTGATCTATCATTCAAATAATATACTTATGCTTAGCAAAATACTACCTTAATAATCTAAAAATAAATACTTTGTATATATTAATATATTTATTTAAGAAGTATCATATTAATTATACAAGTTTTAAAATTTTTAATCTCATCAAATTATTTAGCATTAAAAACAAAAAAAATTGCAAAATTTGAGAAATTTGATGTATTTTTAAACTGTTAATTCTAATTTATGAAATATTTCATATTTTTTAAATTAGTTTTTTTTTAATAATCTAATAATATATGTTTGAGAATATATATTTAATTTTGAAACTTCCAAGTAACATTTTTATTAAACAAAAAATCTTAATAGAATTTTGCTAAAAATTTGGCCAATTGATAATATTTAGAAATTACTTGTAAAGTTTTTTTCTTATAAAATCACATTAAATATTTTAAATAAAAACCTTAATCTTAAAGTTTTTTCAGTAAAAATTTTGAGTGATTTGATTAGAAACTGACAAATTTTTACTATTTAAAAAAGTAGCATTTCAGTTTGTATCAGTAAATAGTAAATTTGTTGGCAATTAATTTAAAAAAAATAATTATTTTACTTTAAAAGTTTTGTATTCTATATTAATGATTATATGAATTATAATTAGAATTTAATTAAAAAGTATAAATTAATTAATCAATTGTAAAATAAACTTTTTTTTAATTGTAAAAAAACTAGTATCTTTAAAAAATATTTATCTAAATACAAAAATTATTATTAATAATAAATTTGAAAAGGGTTTAGTATGAAATTTCATTCTAAAGGGATATTATTATCTCAATACTTTAAATCCTAAAATATCAAAATTCCAAATTGCTATAATTCTAACATTTTATAAGCCTGACATTTTATAATTTCAAAATTCAAAATACTGAAATAAAAATCTTGAAATTTATTAATAAAAAAAAATTAGTATTATGTGATATTGGAATTATAAAATTTAGAATTATGACAATTTGGGATTTTGATAATTTGAAATTTAAATAATTTAGAATTTTGACATTTCAGGATTTAGAGTATTAGGATAATATACCTTCAGATTTAAGTTTTGGAATTTTGGATAATTTCCATTTGAGAAAAATCTTATAATTGGAGAAATAATTCTATAATTTTATAAACTTATACTTCAAATATTAGATGATATTAAAAAATATTATTACAGTATAAATAAATTTATCTTCAAGATTTTAATATATCTATTACTTATTTATAATTATTCTAAACATATTGTAAATAAATAAATCAAATAAATTTTATAAATATTATATATAATAATACAATTATTACTACATATAAATTTTATCAATTTTATCAGTAATAATTCTGGTAATTTAAATGTATATTAAATGTTATAATTATTAGTGTAATAAAAGAAAAATAATTCAAGATATAAAGTGAAATACTCTAATAATTAATAGTTTTTAAATTATGCATTTATATTTTATATACTAAATAAATTAAAGAAATTTGTGAACAAAGCATATTTATTTTAAAGTAAACTTCAGTATTATTTTAAATATATTTAAATAATAGTTTAAATAATTATTGTAATTTAAACCAACCTGATTGGTTTAAATTATAGTAATTATTTGAATTCCATTTCTTTTGATTCTTAACATATTTAGTTAATATTTATAATAATTTAATATTTATTTTATTGTCAAATTATTTCTATTTTTAATTATAATTAGCCAAGCTTTTATATAATGATATATCAAAACATATATGAAATTTTTAGGAAATATCATTATATTAAAGTTATACCAATATTTATATGTCTTTACATATAGTGGAAAAATAAAATTTTATTGGTATATCAAGTTTTAATAGTATAACAGTATATCAAATATTAGTATATCAAAGTTAAACTGTATTATATAATTAAAATATAATATTTACTGAATATAAATAGAAATTTTTTAATTTAAAATAATGTAATATTAAATAATAATATTTATTATTATATAACATTTGTATTTTTTGTTGAAAATAAAATAAAAATAAAATAGCTATAAAAATCTAATTAAATCTATTTCTAATTTCTTTTTAATTTAAAATGTTCTTTTTATAATTGTAATTATAATTATTTTAATTGAAAAGATATAAATGGTATTTAATAGTAGTATGGTACACTTTTTAATAAACTAAATTCTTTGTATTTTTGGTATTTTTGTAATCTAATACCTTTTAATTATTTGATTGTTATTCTGTATTTTTGTATATACTGGTTTTTTTTTTTGATGATTATAAATTTTTTAATTAAAACTTTCAAAATATTTTTCATTTAATTTTATTTTTTCTTTTAAGTTATTGTTAATTTTTTTTTTAATAAATTAATTTCATTAAAATGTATAATTTTAATAAAAGTAAATCTATAAGCAAATAAAAATATTTATTTTTAAAATAACTACAAATACAATGCATTTAAAAAAAAAACTAACTATAAATATTTATTATATATTTAAGTAAATGTATTACTATATTATATTAAATTTATTTCATAATATTATAAAGCTTTTTACTATATTTTAAACTATAAGAGTCTAAGAAGAAATTAAATTATATTAGATATAATATAAATTGAAAATGGTAAATTATAATAATTTTATTGATTTTTTAATTTTAAATTAAAATAAAAATTTTAGTAGCTTGAAGTTAAGAAGCTAAGAACTAAGCAGATTTAACTAAATTGTATAAAAAGATAGAAGTAAGCAAATTTTTAAATAATTAAATATTCATTTTAAAATACTTTTATTAAAATATAGAGATTAAGTTTTTAAAACCTTATTATTAAGTAATTTTTAAACTGCTAAAATTAATAGGTTTACAAAATCTAAGGCATTTTCTGGATAAATGAGCATATTTATGAGTGATTACTAGTTTATTAGTATATGGACGTTAAAAATTTACTATTATAAACTAAAAAGTTAAATTTGATTGCTAAAATAAATAGGATTTACCCTTAATAGGATTTAATATTTTTTCGCATGATATGTCGCCCACCCCCCTTTTTGGCAATTTTTATATAATAATTTGCCGATCTTTGCCAAATTTTCTAATTCTCAATTTTTTTTGATTTTTTTTGCATTTTTGACGCAAACCTTTATGTACCTATTATAACACTTTTAAAAACCATATAGTATGCGTATTTTTGCCTGCTTTACAATTTTATTTAGTATATTAAAAAGGATTTAGAATATCGTTTTCGACTTTTATATGAGGATACGATATTTCGCGGGTGCAATAAAAAACAAACCCCATATTAATATATATTATTAATTAGAAAATCGAAATAAGAGAATCTCCCTCACAATGAATTAAATTATCGGCACACATGTTAATGATCTACATCTCCAAGATCGAAGATCGACTAATCCAGGCATGGAAGTGTTAAATAACGCGCTTTTTTTCTGTGATTTACGTGAAATTAAAATTAAACATTTATATATATCACGGCTTTCAACATTTATTCCTGTATATATAAGTATGTATATTTATTTATTTTTAAAATCATCATACATGAAAAAGTAAATCCTTAAAACTAATAAATTCACTTGTCCTTATTTCAGCACCCCTTCATTTTTGTATTTTATAAGTATTTCCATATGACCATACGTAAAAAATTCTCTATTATGATGATAATCAATAGAAAATGAAAGTGGCCTTCTTCCTCTCCAACTTTCTAAAAATCTTTTCAACCCGTTAATAGAAAACATCCAATTATCACTAAGCATTATTTTATGCAATGTTTTTGGAGAATATTCAGCCAAAATATCACATATTTCATCTCCTATATATTCAACCTTATCAAGTTCTAAACTGAAAAATTCAATCTTTTCTAAATAATTACAATTTACTAATAATTCTTTCAAATAATTTAAATCTTCGGAACCAAGATATGTTGTTAATTCTTTAATCTTTGGACAATTTCTAGAAATTGCCTTAATAAGTAATCCAGTGTTTTCATTATGACAAAACCCAGTATAAAAAGAAAATATTTCGATATTTCCTTTAGAGTTTTCAATTAGTTTAGCCAAATCTTTAAAAAAAGGAATATCTTTAACATGAAAGTACCAAAGATTTGGAAGGAATTCTAATATTTTAGAATATTCTTTAAAATCTTCAAATTCATCACAATTATGAAATGATAATTTTTTTAAGTTAATGAGAGATTTTATAATTGATGGTGGAATACAATTAACTGGACTTAAAATAAATTCAATTATTGTATTTGCTTTCCCTGTCAATGCTTTATTTAATGCTTCACTAATTGCTTTCATATTTTTAGATAAAATTGATACACTTTTTAGATTTCTTTGTACATCAATTAATTCTATTAATCCCGAATTATCTTGAGCTGCATTACTAATTATTATTTTCTCTATATCTTTACATAATTGTGCCATCTCATGTAGAGCAATGGAATTTACGAATTTAGCATCAACATCTAAATAAATTAGTCGAGAGAAACATGTTAATGCTCCAGGAAATTGTGATAAATGTAGTGAACTTTTCCAAATTAATTTTTTAATGTCTTCACATTTTATAACATACAATTTGTAAATTTCTTCTTTTAATATATTCTCTTTAACTTCATCTTTTCCAAGCATCATTCGGGCAAAGTAAGATATCTTTTCATCTTCAGGAAAATCACGGCAGAAACTGATATAGTTGAATGAAGGATTTGAAAAATTTGTTGTTGTTGCCAATGGTAATTCAATACCATTATCTAACAAATATTGTTTTGAAGATGGTGACAAAAAAGAAATTATTGTATTGAACAGTCTTCGATCAGATTTCATATATCCATAATAACATGACCATGGATATTTCCACAATATTCGAACTACAATATGACACCATGCTCTGTTAACTAAAAGACACGAATGTAAATGTTTTTTATCGTCTTGTAATTCGTTAAAAATGAGTAAAAGACAATCTGCATTAATTTTTGACATTTTGGCAAATTTTGGCAGAAAATTTATGAAGAAAAAGTAAAATAATTGATTCGTAACATTAAATCACCGTTTTTTTCAATATTTGGGCGTAATTCAAGGTTGTACAAATCTATTACAGTAATTTTTTTTTTTACAATGCAGCTAATCCTAATTTATCCTTTAACCCTAAATTTTTTTTTAAAAAAAATCTAAAATCATTTAAAAAAAGAATTATAAGAAGGCTACTTGCTTATTTATATATCCACAATTTGTGCGACCCGCTTAAGCCCTATACTGGGTAAGCATCCTCGAGTCGAAAGATCTACGAGACGAATGATTGGTTTAACAATAAATAAACAAGAAGAACTTGTTTGTGGCATGTTCTTGGGCTATATCGGCTATATCACAATTAGATTTATACTTACCAATTATTCACACCTCTACAATTAGTTATACCATGAATAATTTTATTCGATTGACGTGGTCATTCAATAACTAAATTTTTAACTAGGTTTCCATAATTTATTCTTATTTGTTATTATATACATACGAAAATGATATTTTATATATATATATATTTATTTAAATTATTCATTTATTCTTTATTATTTAATTTGCAATTATTTCTAAATCAAGATCTGAATTGCGCGTAATAATTGTGAAAAGCACGTGATTAATGACAACAATATGTTGTACTTGTGGTACAACTGATGGGCTACATAATAAAAGCAATGAAAGCATGATTAAATACCAATATAGTTTACGTCACAACTGCCCAACTGCCTAAAGAATATGATTTATGTGTAACGTTTACAGACATAAATATCATATAACGATTCTTTTATTTTTGTTCTTTAGTTTCTTATCCTCTTTTATGTAGATAATTGTTGTAGGTGTAATGATGGACGGTAGTGTAAGTCATTTGGTTAATCATACTATTTACAAGATTTATCAATGGATTAGTGATGGCGCTCTTGACCTTAATTCGCGTTTCCAAAGAGGTGAATATTTTTTATTATTTATTTTGTTCAAATATTTCATTTCTGTAATATTTAACACTTTGTAATTATTTCAGGTGAAGTGTGGGGAGGTAAATATCGTGGAATTTTCTTGGTGATTTGCGGAAATTTTTGTTTATATATTGTTTTACATATTATTTGATAATTTTTAGAGAAAGAACAATCATTTTTGATCGATACCATAGTCGAAAAATATTACATACCACCATTAATCTTTTCAGTACATAAGCAAAATAACAATTTAGTACGCGTTTGCATCGATGGTAAGCAACGATTAATTGCTATTAAAAAGTAAGTATTAATTTCTTAATTTTATCAGAATTTCTATTTCCTTACTTACATTTATATCTCTCTTTTTACGTTAAATAGATTTATGAATAATGAGATAGCGCATATGAATCCAAGGACGGGCGCAAAAACTTTTTATAATCTTTCTAGTGATAATTGTGATCAATTTTTGGATGATTATGATCGCTTAAAGTTTGACTACTCTGAATTGGAATGTGGTAAGTAATAAGGACATGTAAACTTATATCATCATTCGAAATATATTAACTTTGATATTTTTTTTAAAAAATAGTTGAATATCATGATCTTACTCTGGAAGAAGAACATGAAATATTTAAACGCATCCAATTAGGAAAGAAATTAACTATTGCTGGTAAATATTATATTAAGGTACTATTTTTTTTATATTATTAATTTTTTTAAAAAATTTTCCATTACGTGATTTTCTCAGAAAAATTACAAACGATTACTACACCGATGGCAGATTTCATTTACGAGTTGATTTCTCTTTATCCAGAGATATGTTCTATGATGTCTCATTCAGCATCACGACCTTTTCGTTTATTTGCTCACGTAATATTTTTATTGGAGAATGAACCAACAAAATTTTGGACTTCACAAGTAATAATTAATGAATATATCAACCAATCACAATCAATTATGTTTCGTAATGATTTTAAACAATCTTATATAAAATTATTTAATAAATTCACTAATTTAATTGAATTAAATGACATTAGTGATTTATTAAACAAAATTACTCCTACTGAGTTTATTTTTATTTGTTGGTTATTAAAAAAATATAATACTTTTACGGAAGATGAATATTATTATTGGATCGATAAAATGAAACGACATACAAGAAAAAAATTTAATAATGATATTAGATTAACTCCGAGAGTTTATAATACACTTAGAAAATTTATTTTGAACATCAATTACAAAAATGGAGAGAATTGTAAACATGAAGAGGATGTTGATGATGAATAATAATCTAGATTGGTGAAACTTGGAAAGAAAATAATGATAGGGAATAGTAATGATCGATGATGGTGACAGTGTGAACAATTTATATAGCATTCAATTCTTATAACTTAGGATTAGTATACCACAACATTTGTATATATTTGAATAAACATCAATAACAATTTGCATCAAGTATTACTTATAAAATTTTTGTATTTTGAATAGAATTATATGTATAAACATTATAAAAAATTTGTAAATTATGATATACTATAAATTATAAAGAAAATTAATGCATCCTAAATTGTAAATATTATTTAATTATTTGATGCTGATAATTTTGGTTTTAGAAATTTGATAATAATCAATTCTTCAGGTAAAGCTAAGTCTGTTTCAAAAAGAACTATTTTTTTTTTATTAGAAATACTTTTTCTGTCTCTATTACTTTATCACATTTATTTTAGAGCTTCTATTTGACTATTCCTTTGAAATAGTAAACAGCTAGTTAAATTACAGTATATATACTTTTAGCTATAAATTTCAGTTCATTTTCCATTGGTCAATTATTCTTACCTTATGTACTGATGCATTGCCATTAAGTAAACACTATTTTTTAAAAGATCTATATACACAGAACTTGTAATCTTACCGGAAATTTATGTTAAAGGTCTTAAATTATTTTTTTTTTGCGATTATTAACATCTTGGTTTCCTGACTTTTACTGTTGGAAACTTGGAATTAAACAATCTATAATTATATTTTCCTCCGATCAATCCGGAAATAGATATTATATTTAAGTATTGGGGCTGTTCTCGATCAATATCAAATCGAATGTTCGATTCGAAACAATGGAAGCTCATTTGATGTGAACATAATCGATCATCGAAGCTAGAAATTGTCATATCAATCTGGTGCGACATAAAATTTTAATTATACACAAACCCGAATAACAAATAACTATGGTTAATTTCATCCATCTGGATAATATACGTGAAATCATGAAGAACGTTGGTGAGCAGATTCTAGTAAAAGTTTAACATCGTATGGAATAAAAGGCAATAAGGACTTGGAAAAAAGCTTCTTTTGAAAGAAAACAGAAGGGGAAGAAGTTGAAATAGAATAAATAGTTACAAAATTGAGAAATCAGAACAGACAATGGAAATATATTCAGTTGATATAATTTCATTTATTCTGATCTCATGTTTGCAGTACTATTGTAATTTATAATAATATTTGGTCCATTTTAATATGTGAGTGAACTCACAGACTAGATAGAAATCCATACGATTTTTCGACAAGAAATTACAAAATCGATCTATTTTGTAAAATATCAATGACAAAATAACAGAGCCACAATATTACCTTCTTGACCCTCGTGTTACCACATATATTGTGTTACATATAGGAGGGATGTCGTACAGTGTCAAAAAGGCCACAATGCGTAATATGTTAATGTGTATTATGTATTATGCGAATTTTTGATTGCCAAAATATTTGATTTCCGGGCGTGTAAAAATTAAGATGATCTCCGTTTAATTTTAATAGTCCGAAACTATTTAGCTTTAAATGCTAATTTTGTTGCCAAAATGAATATTTATTAGGATTTGCAAAGAACTGAACAGAGACAACCCTTTGGTCAGTTTGATGTTAAGAAAGTTCATAATATATTTGAAATAAAAGTCTGTTTATTATTATATGAAAGCTAAAATCAAGTAAAGGTTTTTGAGATTACAATTGGTAGATTTTTTAAATTTTATTATAAAAAGATTAAAAAGATTATTAAAGTTATTTCTTTTTATTAATACCCTTTCTTTTGCTTTTTCCTTTAACATCAGAAAAATCAGAAGAAATATCTTCCATTTCAATTGTATCATCATCATCATTAATAGTGGGGCTTCTTTTGCCAAATTTAATCAATAATCTATTTTCAATATCATCCAATTCCCAATTATGAGTTGTTAATTCAAGATTTTCACTCTCGGCTAAAAAAAGTTTATGGAAATCTTGAGGCTGACCAGTTGGAGATGCACCCATTTGAGACATCGCAGCCATATCACGCATACCATCAGCAGCATTATCTTCACCCAATAGTAAAGTAAAAATACTTCTTAAACCAAATAAATTTAAGAAATACCAAGATAATGAAGAAACCCAAGTTACATCCATATCAGGAGTTTCAACACCACGTTGTAACATTGATTTAAATCGTAGTGTAAGTGGAAATGGCAACTTTACTATTATAAAGGAAAGAGAATTGTAAAGTTAAAGAATTTAATTTAAAGAATTTGAAGTCCCATCTTAATTAAGAATTTTTATATACTCACTTAAAACAAACCCAGAAAAAAAGAAATTAATCCAACCCATAATAATAGTTTGTGGAATAATCATGGCAAAATTTTTTTTCATTCCTTCCATCATCATTTCCATACCGGCAGGATCAGTCATAGGATTAACTGCATGATTTGCTGCAGCAGGATTTTTTAAATAATCTCCTCTTTTATATGCTTCGGAGAGAAAAGTTTTCCTTATGAAAAATGAATTATTTTGTATGTGATTTCCATAATTTCTTAAAGTAACTCCTCTTGTTAATGCTTTTGTTTCTCTAATTGCTTTTAATCCTGGTTTTTTACCCGTACCCCCTCCTATTAGTACTGTAACTTGGTCTCTAAATATTCCTACTAACACCATAACTACCATAATTGGTATTAATACCCAATCCCGAATTTCTGTTATATGTGATGTAATAAAGTATTAGGTTTAGATAATGGCTTTTAAAGAGCTTAAAGAAAGAGTTTCATAACATACCCGGATCTAAGTATAACGCCTGACTATATTTATAAGAAAATGAAACATTAGTTTGATATAAAAGAAAAGTAAGTAAAATAAACCTTTTACCTCTCAGCTATACTTGCTAACGGCTGTGCCATCGTGTCAAAAATAATGTCAAAATAAAAAGCTTTGAAGTATAATAATTGAAAGTAATTGAATATCAACCAAAAATAATCTAGTAAAATTGCTACTTACGTCATCTTCATTCAGGTGACCTTATCTGTTAGATTATCATTTACAAATTTACTAAATTTTTACTCGAATATTTTTCGTTTTAGTTACGTAGAACCAAATGTGTCAAAGGTCGATTAAGAAAGGTAAAATACTAGCTTAAAATTTACTTATTACGTGTTTTATTAAACAAATCGAATTTCAAATTTGTATTAGAAAGGAACATTTTATTTATGAAGGAAGATGATTTTTGTTCAGAAAGAAAGCTCTCTCGACAAGTAAGTTAGCGAGAGGCGTGTTTTTGTATTTTTCTCTGTCTCAATATTATAAGTAAAAGGGTAGGAATTCGGTGAATTACGGCACAAAACGATTTCTTGTTACAAAGTTTTACCGAAACGTGGTAGTGATTTATTGGAAATGCTCCAAACGGACGTGCTATCAACAGGATGTTATGGGTAATTGGATAAAAAAAAAAAATTTAAAATCATTGAACCGATTAAAAACATTTAATATTTATTATTAGGATTGATGAATTATTACAAGGAGGATTACATCCGGGAGAAGTTACAGAAATCAGTGGAGAAACAGCTACAGGAAAAACCCAGGTTGTGAAATAATTTAAAAATTCCCTGATTAATAAATCTTTATCATAAATAGCAAATTAATAATCTTGAGCACATTTCAGCTTGCTTTTTCAGCAACACTTACAACTATATGTGCAAATAAGAACAACAAAGTCTTATTCATTGACACTGTATCTACATTTTCGGCTGAGCGAATAAGAACGTTATTTTTAGAAAGTGACCGGTTTGATCATTCAAGATGTCAAGGAATGGCACGTCACAACTTTCTAGATTATATTTAATTATGATGGAACATCTCGAATGAATGAATGAATGGACATTAATATTTTTTTTTCCCTTTCGCTTGATAGGGGGAAGAAGATGTCATGAATAGAATTCGAATTGCTAAATGTTTTGATGTATATGCTGTAATGGAATTTATAGAGGACCTGAGAGACCACTTAGAAAATAAGGTATGAGTTTAAAATATTTTTTAAAAAATTTTATAATGTATTAAGAGCTTAAAATTGTATTTTAGGATAAAGATGACAACGTTTATACAAACGTAAAGTTAATCATCATTGATTCTTTCGCGGCAATTTTTTCACCACTTTTGGGAGTCACGCAAACTCAAGGTTTAAACATGTTTTTTAAATTCATAAACGTAACTTATCCTAAGTCATTCCGATTCAATTTATGAAATAAAGGACACTCGCTAATGATAACATTAACACGGATACTTCGGAATTTGGCGAAGGAGTACAACATAGCGGTTCTGGTAAATTCACTGTTCCATACTTATATCATTCTTTTTTTGTAACTAATTGATATTTTTAATTTAGGTGATAAATGCAGCTATTGCATCGAACCCAAACAATCCCATTTCTGTTTTCTCTTCAACAAAATCAAAACCTAGTTTGGGTATGTCTTGGACATTTATGCCCGATGTTCAATTATATTTGACTCATTGTGTAGAAAATAAGATAGAAAACGAAAAGAACATACAGCAGAATTATGTATACACAAATCGAAAAGAAATTGAAGTTATAATGAAGCCAAAGATATGCGAGGTACATAGATCAAGGAATGGGGTATGTATTATCTTGGAAGTGAATTTTGTATATTAAATATATCATTGATTTGACATTATATTATTATATTTAAAGCAAATGGGAAAATGGTGTATCTTTTATATGGTAAAAGAACTTTTTTTTTTGTTATTTACGATAATATATACATTTATTTATGCTAATTGATTATATAAATTTAGGGTGGAAACGAACTTTTTACACATGATGATATAATATGATGTACAATTCTCTAGATCTCTTGTTGTTGAAAGTGTAGATTGTAAATATAAAAGTCAATACAATATAAAATATCGAACATACATTATCCTTTTCCAATTTAAAGTATGTATGGGTAATTAAGTATGTAAGTATGTACTGATTTTGAAAATACTTTTTCCTTTTTTAGAAACAAAGTCAGTAATATGTGACGTCATATATTGTGTAGTAAAATCACCTTAGTTAATTTAGTTAACAAAGCTTTTCTAAATGGAAAACAAAAATTTATTTATTTTTAATTTGCGAAGTCAAATTTTCTACCATGCGTATTCTATTAAACGAATTAATCATACATACTAACGGTATAAGGAAATAAGGAAAGTAAAAAAAAATTAAAAGATTTCTTTGTGAATTAGTTAATCCCCCATGTTCATTAAATAACAACTCAACAAGGCAAGTAAATGTTGTGGTTGTGACATGACTAGAGTAAATCAGCATCGGAAGTCGAATTGTTGCAGTATCTTTTATGAAATGAACTATTTTTAATTATTATATAATTATTATTTTATTATTAAATTTAAAGTAAATTATACTACCTTTCCATAATCCAATAGAGACGTAAAAGAAAAACGGTAAATGAATTAAAAATTCAATATGAGCGAAACCTTTAAACCAAATGGGTGAATTAACAAAAAATGGGTCATTGAAATTTTCTGTGTACCATTGATTAATCGATTTAAGAAAATTTGGTGCTAATGGTGACAATACAAGATAGGAATCCAAAAATATTGTCGGAAAAATATGAGTAACGAAGTAAACAAAGAAAATTAAATCTAAATATAAGCAAAAGATTTTAGTAAATATTGCGCAAAGTTGAAATAAATAAATAAGCAAAAAAAATGTTACCTAGAGGACGAGAGGTTATCGAAGTCATGGTCACGTTGTAAAAATTTAAGCTTCTTTTTTAAACTTTGTGTTAATACTAATTCAAACCTTGTGTCATAATAAATTTTTGCATAATAATAACATGCATAAAATAGAAATCGCTAATAAAAAAAATTCCTTGTTTCCTTGTAAATTATCATCGATTAAAAGAATTGAACTGTATCACAAAAGCGTATCACTAATGTCTATAATGTTATATTGTTGGTTGATTACGGGGTAAGTATCAGTTTGTTTATGAACAACCCTTGTGTAAGGTGTCTAAACGAGTAATGTTACCAACCCATTTTTGCAATTTCAATTCAAATCATATCTTGCCTTTTTTCCGCTTTCTCCTCGCTTGACCACTTAATAGTGGTTGTTTTATTTCGTAGCGCGTCTATGATCTTTATTGCGTTACATTATTCCACTTCCTCTACTCATACTTCAAATTCTACATATATAAGTTCGGCGGGCCGTTGTCTATATATTTATTGACGCTTATACAATCTTTCTTATTATCGTTTATTTTCATATTTATTACAGTCATTAAGTCTTTCTATGTACAATTATTTATTTATAGAACTGTATAGAAAAAATATTTATTTCATTGACTTCTGTAAAATTGTATTATAGTTTCATTCTGTAAACTTACAACATAAACGCAATAATGGGTGCCGGCTGTTGTAAAGAAGAGGAAATTGACTTCGATGCTGAAGGTAAACAATCATATATTAATGATATATTCATTACATTAAATTAATGCTAACCTATTTATTCTTTAAATTGCAGTTGAATTATCTCATTTTCATTTACTAAGATCTGTAGGAAAAGGTGCTTTTGGCAAGGTTCGTTTAAATTCAATATCACTAATTCTTAATCATTTTTTTTATAAATTATTTAAATTAATTTAAAAAACAAAATAATCATTTAGGTTCGTGTTGTTCAACACAAACAAACAAAAACTTTATATGCACTTAAATACATTAACAAAGCAAAATGCATAAAAATGCGTGCTGTTGAAAATATCATACAAGAAAGACGCTTACTGGAGGAGATTGAATATAATTTAGTGTGTAATTTAAGATACGCATTCCAAGATGACGAAAATTTATTTATGGTTCTTGATTTGATGTTGGGTGGTGATTTGAGATTTCATCTTGAAAGACAGGGTAGTTTGAAGGAAGAAGTAGTAAAATTTTATGTTGCTGAAGTCAGTTTGGGTTTACATTATTTACATTCAAAGAAAATTGTGCATAGGTAAGCATAGTTGGGATGATATTTTATTTTTAAAAAAACTATAAAATAATTTATGTACACATAATCTTAAAAATATAGGGATTTAAAACCTGATAATGTTCTTTTGGATGAAAAAGGTCATGCCCATTTGACTGATTTTAATATTGCAGTGCATTTCAACGAAAGAAAACCCCTTACATCTGTAGCTGGTTCAATGGCCTATATGGGTATTTATTTTACATTATAAATGCTATGTTAAAAATAAAAAATTATCTAAGGCAATTTTTTTACATATCAAAAAGCTCCAGAGATATTGATGAAAAAAGGATATTTTGACTCAGTGGACTGGTGGTCGTTAGGAGTTGTAATGTATGAATTACTTTTTAGCAAGGTAAATTAAATTTATTTTTAAAAGCTTTATTATTTTTGATTATAAAATATCTCACAAATTTATTGTTAATTATTTTAGCGACCATTTCGTGGAAAAACTAATCCTCAATTAACACAAGCAATATTAAAAGATCCTCTCATATTTCCAGATAATGTCTCAGTTTCTGAAGAATGTCTAGATTGTATAAGAAGAGTATGTTGAAATAGATACTTTTATTTTATTGTTATTTTCAAATTTTATTTAAATTGACGGTTCTTGTCGATATTATAGTTTTGTGAACGAGATATAACGAAACGTTTAGGATGTGGACCTAATGGAATAGAAGATATTAAACGACATCCTTGGTTTGTAGGTATTGAATGGGATAAACTTAATACAAAATTAGCCGACCCTCCGTTCGTTCCTGATGTAAGATTTGAATTTCCTCTTTTATATATCTTAAAAAAAAAAAAATTTCACATTTTAATAACATCATCATTTGATTTTTAGTCTAAGAGAGCAAATTTTGATGCTACACACGAATTAGAGGAACTTCTACTAGAAGATAATCCTCTTAAAGCCAAAAAACGAGCTAATCCTAATCAAGATCTTAGTGAACTATCCAGAGAAATGCGAATGATGGAAGAAAAATTCCTTGTATACGACTTTACCAAGATGCGTAGGAGAAGTTATTATCATAATAATAATAATGGTATGCAGGAAAGAAGAGCTAGCGCGTCTACGAGACGAAAAAGTGGTAGTAGAAGCAGCGGAAGCTCTACGGCAGTTGATCGGTTAACGAGCAATTCTTCAAGTCTTACAAATATGAACGTTAGTATGGATACTAATGCACCCCTTTTACCAATTCACCCACCTTCGGTAAAATTAGTTACACACGGGCGTCAGGGGTCAGATTTAAGTGCTATTGGTTATATTGATGAGCACAAGGAAAAAAACAGAGAATGGTTAAATGAAAGACCATCTTCACCCCCACACCGTGAAAACAGACGAATGTCTGGATTTGGATTTGGAACAATGCCATCTAATGAAAGAATAAGTCCAATAGGTGCACCGCACGAGTCGGATTATTATTCAATGAAATCTAATCCGGCGGGTAGAATCTCGCCTTCATCATCTATAACAATAGATAACCATAGGATAGATAACCATAAACGAAGTCAATCAGCATATTCTACACAAGTAAATACGTCATCATTATCACCACCACCACGAGTTCAATCCCCTGTACAAAAAATATACAGTTCTACATCTCCATCTTCATCACGGCCCAGTTCTCCGAATCCACAACCTTCGCATTCTGGTCGATCCTCTTCGCCACGGTTAATAGCACAAAACCTATCTAATACAAATTCTTTAAATAATTCACCTACGGAACCTCTTCCAAGTCAAGGTCTTACGTCTCCACCTCAACTTCCACCCCCTAATGTTCCACTTCCCCTGCCACCAAATACATTTTCAGCATCTTCATCCTCAACATTAGTGAATTCTAATTTAAGCATAAGTGCCTATAATCAATCGGCATCATCCTCAAGGGTTCGTTCGTTGTCCCCTCCTTCAACTAATAAAAGACCTACAATATTGACGGAACCATTACCAACCAGTAATAAACTTATAAGGGGAAATTCCAGCGAGACTGTTTCAACAAATGGAACTTCTGTAAGCGGTAGTATTTCATCAGAAAATCCTAATGGTAGTGTTGGTAGTGGTTTAAGTGCTAGTGGACATTATCGAAACCCCAGTAATGTTAGCACTGGTTCCGGCGCACTAAGTGCCGTAGGTGTACCAGTAGGTTTATGATCTTCCATATATACCATATATATAAGCCTTCGTATTAAGTATATTAACGCAGAAGGCAAACTTGTATAAAAAAGACTATTTTAAAAACCTTAGATGGGTATAAAAAAGTTCTTTATTTTGTTATTCTTTTTATTATTATTTAAATTCTAATATACGTATATATTTTATTTTTGTTTTGTTATGTATGAAAAAAAAAACTTATTGTAACAAAATTATATTTTAATATTAAATTTAATAAGTATTTTATAATAAACTGTTAATATTTAAAAGAACTAAAAGTTATTAGTTATTATAGGTTTATATAATAACTAATGCAAAAAATTATTGGTATCTTATTAAAAGTAATGAAAAAAGTAAATACATGCCTACCTGTCAAAAGTATCCTAGATAGTTCTATTAAATATCTGTTTAATTACATTATTTTGACAACTAGTGACCAGAATTTAATGGTTTATAATTCATTGGACCTTTCTAATCAAAATGCAGTATTTTCATATTTCTAGAATAATAGATCAGAAAATTATTTGCAAATATTTAAAAACTGTAAAATGCAAATAACTTACTATCTATTAATTTTAAAGATATAAAAAGATATAACCATATTTCATTTTTTAAAATCAATAAAAAAGAAAATAATATAAAATTTATATATAACAAAATTGAAATTTTTCAAAATTAAAAAAGTTAATATCTTTAAAATTGTTAAATCAGAAATTATTTACAAATATTTAAAATAGCAAAATGCAAATTAGACTTGGATGCCAAAACCTATAAGTGCTGAAACATATTTAGAATTTAACATATGCCAAAATATAGTTTTAGAATTTTACCAAAATCCTAAATCCTAAATCCCAAATTTTAAACTACAGTAACACCTCTATAAGTGCACCTTCTATAAGTGCACTCTCTCTTTATATACACACCATAGTCCGGTCCCAAGCTTGGGACTTAAAACTAAGTGCACTCCTTTCATGTTCTGCACGTGCAAGCAATTCTGAGTCCCGGATATATTGGAATACCCTCCATAAGTGCATTTATGTAACTATTGACCAATATCAATAAAACAGTTAATTATTAAAATAGATGGATTGATTTATTATTTGTATATATTATGGCGTTTTTATACATTTCTGAAAATAACATTGTTTGATTTCTAATAATTCTATTAAAAAAATCAAATTATTTTGTATAACAGTATAAGTGATTGCTGTGAACTATAATTACAATAAATTCAAATGTAATGCTCTTGTTTCACTTTTATTAATACATTAGTGCATTTAAGATAAGTTGAAATCAGTTAAAAACATGTGAACATTTGTTTGGTTAATAATTCTAAATTAGTATAGTTGAGAAAGATTTTTTTAAAGAGATTATATTTACAAGAAAATAGCACATGATGCAAACCCCCATAGAATAAAAAGTAGATTGTTGGATTCTTGTCATGTATCTAAATTAAGAAAAAAAAATGATAATTTCATCATTATATAATAATATTGAAATTAGCCATATGTTCTATATGTTCCTAAAAATGTCTGTCAAAAGAACCATTCTTATTGAAATATAAAAGCACATATGGGCTAATCTGATGCATCAACCAAATGTCACATGGCAAAACAATGTGATAAAATCGTGATTATTATGATCACTCAAAATTTGGATATGATTGGCTAATTATTTGAAAATCAAAATTACCGTGATTTGTGAAACAGGTCTAATTTTTATTCTTTAGAACAATGAACGCCAAGAATAAAAAAAGCTCTTTTAATAAAACTACGTGTTCTTTATGTCAATTTACTGACAATTCAACCCGTCTCTATACAAAAACTAAACTTTCTTTACACCAAAAACAACTACATCCCAATAATCGCGTAATTCCACATATACAACAACTTTTACTTGATAGTATTTCTGATACTCAAGTTCGAAGTTTTTGGAGTTCCTTGCTAGTCAGAATTGAAAAAAAGCTTTCATATCACCGTTCCAAAAGTGGAGTCAGGCAATTGACATGCGAACCATTTAGTGAAGAATTATTTGTTAAAATTTTTTCTAATGAGGAAAGCTTCACCTATATACCTTATTTAAAAAAATATAAATGCGTATTTACAGGAGAAGCAGGATATAACCGATTAGGATACTTATTTGATTGTAAAGATTGGGGAGAAAAAAATCACGTTAGCGGAACAAAGGCTTATGTGTTTATGGAGAATGAAAAGCGGAAAAAGGATGTAACTTTTATTTGGTCTGATTTTGTAGTAACAAGAATTCGTGATGGCAAAAAACCTTTAATTTTACATAGTCCAAAATTGGTGGTTTCTTTTACAATTTCTGCCGGTTATTTTGTTAAAAGTCAAGAGGATGATACTGATGCAAACATTTTTAAGAAATGCGAAGAATGTATTATGAGTGATAACTCAAATAATGGTACGTTTTATTTAATTAAAGCTAATAATAATTTGTTTTATTAAAATTAATTCCATTTTTAAAATATAGAACCAAATTTTTATTTAGAAATTAACATTTAATTTTGTATATATGTTTTTCTTATTTTACGTTATAAAATTTCTCATATTGTTAAAATGTCATTTATAAAAGCTAACAATAGAATAAAATTTTTCGATAATCTTTCATATTTTTCACAATAAAAGATATTTTATATTAGTTGTATAATATTTTATAATTTTTTTTTTATTTTTTTATAATTATATAAAAAATCAAGGATTTGAACGGATGATTCTTTGTTTAATACATCGGGGTGTATCATTAATTAAGTAGTATAATTGTCTATTTTCAAACGACATGATATCATGTAAAACGGAATGATTGTTGTTATTATTTCCTCCTCCCATAGTTGTCCCCCCAAAAAATAATTTCACCTAAAAATAAAAAAATAAATAATTAGTAATTTAACGCCAAGCAATTAAGTTACAATTAAATCATACATGTAAATGATTTTTCTTTTCTATACTTGAAGTAGAAAACTGTCTCATATTTAATCCTTTATGTTGTAATTTCCTTAAAAATTCTGGAATATGAAATACAAAAATATGCATATATGGAGTTATATCAGTAGGATTAAACATGCCTCTCTTTTGATTGATAGAATTTGATTTTCCGATAGTAGGTTCACAAAACAACTTGATCCAATTTTTCGCATTAACCTCAAAAGAGTCAATTTCAGCATCAGTAAATGAATCCTTGCGTAAAAATTGATATAAACTAAAGAATTCTTTCCATAAAAATGATATTTTTCTTCCACGATTACCAGCAATAAATTTTTTACGTCAAAATATTGTAACATTATCAATTTATCAGGTCCAGTCAAAGATGTCCAATCCCAAGACTTTCCTTTGGATTTTGATTCAAAAAACTGGAAATATGTCAAACCAATTCTTTGCATTTCCTTTTCAATTAAAATTTTGATAGCCTTTTTAAATTCATTTAAATCGATCATTAAATCTCGGAATAGACAATCCATTAAAACATCAGTTATTCTTAACATGACATGTAATTCGTCAGGGATCCAATGATCAAGTTCGATTATTGGAAAAAGACTTGGATGTTCAATACCTAAATAAATTCAACCTTTTGCAATATTAGTAATAGTAGAATTATTATCACAGACTCTTTTATCAATATCAATTTTTATATAAATAAACTATCAAATAAATACCTTTCTTATTTTCTGAAATATTCCATTGTAAATTTAAGTTTCCACGTGAATCTTTTGGGCATTCACAAAATAAACAAAAATATTTTGAATTTGCTGCTTTTAATCCTTTAACGAGAGCCATAAATTTCCAATCCCCACTAAAGTAAAATTCAATGCTCCATGTAATGTTATCTTGGTCAATAAATCCAGCACTTTTTAAAGAATCTAATTCATTACTGAATTTTGAGACCGCAATAGAAAGTTTTTCATATTGTTCTTTACCTATGTATAATAGGATACTTGATAAAATTTAAAATTAGAATACAATAAATAAATTACATTTATTTAATAAAAATAGATTTTACCAATATTGTTTATCAGGTTTTAATACTTCATCTCCTTCATTAAGTAAGCACATTGTAAACATAACGTGAGAATATTTATTTGTAACTATATGACCGTCACCACCAAATTTTAATTTAATATTATCGCCAATATTTAAAATTGATTTTTTTTTCCAAATTGGTATCAAAGTATTTAATAAATCTTTAATAGAACGATAAGAACAAATTCCACTTTGATCATTAGTTAAAGAAAAATTAGAATTTACAGAATTATTATTAGAAAAATTATTAGAAGAATTATTAGAATTATTTTGTACATTATCTAATTCTATTTTACAATTATAAATTGGAATGATTGTTTCCATATATTTAGAAATTTCATTTCGCCTATTACTAATTTGATATTCTCTTTCAAGATTTGGACTAATAGCTGCCAAATGTCTATACCCATCTCTTGGTATTAGTGCTTCATCACATGCACAAACAACCGCATCCTGACGAATTCTAGTAAAATCTAAATTAACTTTTGATAGATCAATCCCAACTATTTCATCACCAATTTCAAGTTCAATATATCGAATTTTTGTGTTATCAAAATTTTGTTGTTTTAAAATTATTTGTGATGCCCTTTCAATATCTTTAGCTAGTAATTTTATACGCTTGTTTTGTTGTGAACGTGATGTAAGAGCAGTGAAAGAATTTTTACAATTGATAGGTATCAAAATAGATTTTTGTGCTTCAATTAAACAAGGAATATCAAAACCAAATAGAATAGTTCCAGAAATACGAGTTTTTTTATTTAATAGCTAAATATTTTTTTTTTTTAAAAAAAAAAAAAAAAAAAAAAAAAAATACAATTAACAAAAAAATTCAATATAAATAATGAACAAAATAAAAATGATTAAATATAAAAATTCAATAAATTACCATTAAAAAGTCTTTGCCAACACCCGATGCAGAATTATTATTTGAGATATATCGATCAATACCTTGTGAATCTTTCCAGTTAAGTATAAACTTTACCGTCCCATTAGATGAATAATTTGTTTCACAAATAATGTCATACCCTTCTAAAGTTGTTTCAACTTTATAATTATCTGGTATTTCATATTCAGGGCAATTTTTTGATGTTCTCTTTGTTTTTTTTACATTGGAAGGATAAATACCTAACGAATGAATAATGTACTTTCTCGAATGAGATTTGCTACCACTTTCATAATAGATGGTAGTAATTATATTGCTATTTGGATAATCATGAATAAAAGTGCGATTTGAATTCTAACAAAAAAAATAAATAAATAAATAAATAAATAAAACACAACAATAAGTAAAACAAATCAAATAAAAAAAATAGCAATATAATAATTTTTTTTATATACTTGTTCCATATTATCCATTATAACTAACTGAATACTTTAAAAATTACCAAATTGGAACGTAATAGCAAGCGAAATTTGTAAAATATTTCAGGTATCGTTAATGTTAACTCAAAATAAAGAAAAATAAGGGTATTATTTATATACTTTAAATGTTTGTACTTTAAAAATTGGTATATTTTAAAACAAACCCAGTTTATATAATATAAGAATGAATAACCAATAAAACGACGATTCCCCGATGATTCCCCACTATATTGTTTTGTTGAGAGAAAATATTTTCTTTGCTCTCCTATTTGGCGATTATCAATATAGATTGTTTTGTTACACAAATTCCATATATATCCCTCAATTTTATCACCTGATTATTACTTAGTGAGTTGAGTCCGATTAGCCCATATGAAGAACTTTATGTTTATGCTCATAATAATAAAAACCTGAATTCAGTATGTTGATTGGATTAAAGAAAAATGAAGTGTCAGAATTAATAAGAGCATCATTACTCGTATCATATAAACATCAGATAAATGTCTTAATTCAGATCCAAATACAAAATGGCATAAACCAGTTACCTATCCAGAAGTCAAACTTGCACTTAAGGAGTTCGTATTAAACTATCAGCATCAAACGGTATTAAGTAATACAATCCTTATTAAAAAAGCTAAAATTATTGCAAATGGTTTAGGTATTCCTTAAGATGCATTACAATTTTCCTCAGAATGGCTTTATAAATTCAAGAATTGCAATAGAATTTGCCAACAAAAACTTGAAGAAGAAGCTTCATCTGCTAATGAAGTAATCATCGCTAATGCCTTATCTTTATTAAAAGAACTTTATTCTAATTACCCTCCTAAAAGAATCTATAACATAAATAAAACAGGACTTTTCTATAGGTAAATTTACTAAATTAATTAAAAAAGAATTTTTAAACATCAAATTCATTGTACACGATTATTAATAATTTGTAGGTTAGAATCCAATCAAACACTTGCAATAAAATGACTTTCTGGATATAAAGTGAACAAAAAATGCCTTTTAATTGCATTATATGTAAATGCTAATGGATCACACAAATTAAAACCTTTAATTATTGGAAAATTTAAAAGTCTCGCTGTTTTAAAAACATAAATATTCAAAACATATCTATGATATATCGTAACAATACCAAAGTCTGGATGATCACAATGCTCTTCCAAAAGTGGATTAAAGAATTTGATTGTTAAGTTGGTCTAAAGCATTAAGGCCAACATGTATTACTTTTTCTTGACAATTGTTTCAGTCACAAAATATCTGGCTTTACCTTACAATACTCTATAAAAAGTATTTATATTTAAAATATAATTAAAAACTTTTTAAAATATATTTAAAATATACTTAAAATATACTTAATTTAAAAATTGCGAAATACTTATAATATACTTAAAATGTATTTAAAATTATCTTAAAATATATTTCTAATATATTTAATTTTTGCCCAAATACTTAAAATATACTTAAATTATATTTAAATTAAAATTTAAGTATATTATAGATACAGTCAACTCTCTTTATAGTCACACATTTGGGACAGTCCATATTTGGTAATTATAAAGAGATGTGACTATATAAAAAATTTCTTATATTTGTATATCATAATTCCGGCCCAAAATTAACATAATTTTAGCCAGAATTATACTTAAAACTTTATTGTATCGTAACTTCGTCAATATTAATCGTAGAGAGATGATCTTACCGCCATTCGATTCGTCTTGATGAGACGGTTCTAATGGTATAAAATACGTCGAAATCCAATCACTAGATTAATTTCCGAAATTAAAAAAATATTAATGGTTTTTGTGTAATAACTCTGCCGATATTGATCCTAGAAAGACGATCTTACTACCATTCGATTCGTCTTGATGAGACGAATCTAATGGTATAAGATACATTGAAATCCAATCACTAGATCAATTTCCGAAATTAAAAAATATTAAATGGTTTTTAAGTAATAACTCCGTCAATATTGATCACAGAGAGATGAGCTTACCACCATTCGATTCGTCTCGATGAGGCGATTCCAACGAGCTATAAATCGTCTTTTTACAATCACTAGGTACCGAGAAATCTAGCAAAATGTTAAATGGCGCAGTAAACGTAAATCAAGAAATATTATAATGCCGATGTTTAACATTTTGTTGAATAACTCGTCAGCCAGTGATCGGAAAAGGATAAAACTACCACCATTCGATTCGTCTCAGTGAGACGATTCTAACAAGCTATGATACATCTTTGTACGATTATTAGATGCCAAGTTATTTAATATATTCTTTATATAACTGTGATTATAAACGGTTCTTTTTAATATAAGATTTTTGAGAATAGGTGTGATAGTGACTATAGATAGATTGTGACTATATAGAATAGATTTTAATAATAAAGTGTTTTGAACATTCAACTGGTGTGACTATATAGTAAAGCTCCGCACGAGCCGGCTTGAGTCGAGCCACAGTCTGGCTCGGCTTGGCTCGAAAAAAAAATTCTGGCCTGAGCCAGAATGAGCCGAGCCATAAAAAATTTCAGCTCGAACTAAAGTGAGCCAAGCCAAGCCATTAAAAACCTGGCTCAAGCCAAGCTAGGCTCGAGCTTTATCTTCAGAAAAACGTTTCGCAACGTTTTTTAATTAAAACATCGAAAAAAAAATGTTGCGAAACATTTTTTTTAAATATAATATTTGAAAAAAACGTTTTCACAACGTTTTTTAATTAAAACATCAAAAAAAATGTTGCGAAATGTTTTTTTCTAACAAAATACTTTGAAAAAAACGTTTTCGCAATATTTTTATTAAAACATTGAAAAAAAACGTTGCAAAACGTTTTTTTTTAAATATATTATTAATAAAAAACGTTTTTAATAAAAAACGTTTTCACAACGTTTTTTTATTAAAAATATCGAAAAACGTTGTCAAACGTTTTTTTTTAAATATAATATTTTGAAAAAACATTTTCGCAACATTTTTTATTAAAATATCGAAAAAAAACGTTGCAAAACGTTTTTTTCTTAAATATATTATTACGAAAAAACGTTTCACACCATTTTTTATTAGAATATTGAAAAAAAATGTTGCGAAACGTTTTTTTAATATATTATAATACAAAAACGTTTCACAATGTTTTTTGTATGATAACTTACAAGCCAGCTCGAGCCTTTTGAGCCGAGCTTATTACCGGCTTGAGCTTTTTGAGCTGAGCCTATTACCGGCTCGAGCTCTTTTCGAGCTGGCTCACGAGCCACTAAGCCAATTTAATCATGGCTCAGTTCGGCTCAGCTTGAAAAGCTCAAGCCAGCTCACGAGCCAGCTCGGCTTATGCGAAGCTTTACTATATAGTAGAATGTGACTATAACGGGAGTGACTATAGAGGGAGTTGACTGTATATTTTTTACATACTTAAAATATTCTTATAATATACTTAAATTTTAATTTAAATATAATTTAAATATATTTTAAGTATATGGGCAAAAATTAAATATATTAGACATATATTTTAAGATAATTTTAAGTATATTTTAGATATATTAAAAATATATTATAAGTATTTTGCAATTTTTAAATTAAGTATATTTTAAATATATTTTAAGTATATGGGCAAAAATTAAATATATTAGACATATATTTTAAGATAATTTTAAGTATATTTTAGATATATTAAAAATATATTATAAGTATTTTGCAATTTTTAAATTAAGTATATTTTAAATATATTTTAAGTATATTTTAAGTATAATACTTTTTATAGGGATATACTGATATTCATTTTTTGCCTCCAAACATAACTTCAAAAATCCAGCCAATGGATGCTGGAATAATCATGTCATTCAAACAACATTATCATCATTTTCATGTGTGGTAAAGTATATTGTTAGATCTGCTAATTATTACAACATCAAAGTCTAATTGCTTATTTTTAAAGTTGAATGTTGTAATATATAAAAGCAAGTGGGTGTGCAAAAGATTTACACATGGATATTCTGCAGGCTATTCATTATATCATTCAAGCTTGAAATGAGGTTAATGCTAAAATAATTTGTAACTGCTGACCGTCTGCTGGTATCATACAAAAATCCTATTTGATGCAAATATAGATTTAAGAAATATTTCAGAAGATATTCACCAATGTAAAGATTTAATACTTAATGATCTTGCAGATGCACTTCAAGGCATTAATCTTTCCTATCCAATGCAGGCAGAAGAGTTTTTAACATATCTGAAGAAAATGTTGTTTACAAAGTTTCCAAAGATGATCAAATTATTGAAAAACTCATATATCTTTTTAAGAATGCTGACAAGGAGGATATAGAATTAGAAGAAATGGATGATAGCAATGAAAGTTTCATTATTAGTATTAATACTGCAATTAATAGTTTAAAAACTGTACATATATTTCTGCTTCAGCAAGACAATGCGAAAGAGTATATAAAGTTAATAGAAAAGATTGAAAAAATTTTTAAAGTTAAAAAAATAAACTTAATGCGGCAAACTGATTTTAATGTATATTTTTATTAAATAAATATATTTTTTACAAAATGTTTAAATCAGAAAATAATATTAAATAAATAAAATTTTTTAATTGTGTAACATGATTTATTTTTTTATTAGTTGTTCTTTAAGTGCACACCTTTCCTAAGTGCACGTGTATAGTCAGTCCTAAAATGCATGTACTTATAGAGGTATTACTGTAATGTTTTTTCTTTTTCTTTTTGTAAAAATAGACTTTTTGATATTTTTCTAAACTTAGAGGTATAGCCATTCAAAGCAGAAAAGGTATATTTGATATAAGAATATTTTATAATGTTCTTTTTCTTTCTTTTTTTGTAATAAGAATGTTTATCAAAACAATTTTTTCAAAATTTTAGTTTAATCAAAATTTAATCTGAAACTATTTTTTATAATAAAATCAATTGTCTAAACTGTTTTTATGCTTTTTTAAAACTAATTATAATTTAGAAAAGTTTTGGATTTACCAATTTTTTTATTAAAAATAAAG